AACTTAACCTGATAGCATTTTGTCTGTCTCTGGCGTGCTACAGAATGATATAGATCTTGGCTGATCGTATGTTAACAATGGACCTGAATTTACAGCACTAATTTCACCCAACCTCCTGCTCGCTTCTGCTTTTCGATCATTATTTTTACTCGCTTTTGCAACTGCATGTTGAATAATTTTCGCTTAATTTTTCAAGCGCGTGAACCCAGAAATATTGCCCGTCTGCATGCTCGCATTTTAAATACATGGCCGTAGCATCAATATGTTCCTGGTGTCTCTGCTCTCTGCCCTAAGGAGTTAGCATTGCCTGTATCACGTAATTGTCTCGATAATCATATTGTTGAAACGAGATAGCAGCCCTGGATTCAAACCGAACGCAGTCCCGCTCTATCAGCTTGTTGTGGAACGTTCACATAACAAGAGGTCATAGTTCAAGTTACGTTCGCGAACGAAACAAAGTATGATGGTTTGGAAGTGTCGTTCAAAATTAAATAATGGTTAATACTCATTGAATCCTCAAACTTCAGTACTAAAACGACCATTTCGACAACTCATGTGCCAGTGTTCAGTGTTTGAACAAGCGGTCAGTGTTTTTAATAAGCGAGTGAGAAAAAAAGAAATTAAGCGATATGCTGTTGATTAAAATGTTATAAAAGCGAAATATTGGGCGAAATGAGTATTGATGCCCATTTATAGCTTGACATGCGTCACCAAATGGGGACATGGTTAGAGTTGGTAGTACCATGGAAGGTACTAATTCATGGTAGTACCAGTACTAGTATACGCGGGGAGGGAGTCCAGAGAGGGAACAGCCAGCATTCCTTTTACGGGAAACGTGAAATCTCGACGGATTTGTTTCGTTCTCACATGTAATATTAGGTTTTGCGGGCTTCTGAGTTCAAAAAAGACGACTAAATCAGTCAAAAAGCAAGCGTTTAGAAGAAGTTGGTTTACCAGTACTTAATCCATTTTTAACACCTAGGATACTCTATTGACATTGGTTGTTTATTTCATGGATTTGGCACTTGAGGTGGCTGATAAGCCATGTCGAAAACTTGCACAAAACGACCATTCTGTGCACATTTTCGACATGGATTAAAAACCAGTTGTAAGCACAAATTTTCATATGATGACTTCTGCCGGCTACCGTCACACTGATTATTCAGCCGTCATCGCCTTCCTGAGGTGTAACGATCATTTTTTAATTCTGCGCAGTTGACGTCAAAGGTCGTTGAACATGCGCGTAACAGTAATTACGGAAGAACGTCGTCAGTTCTACAGGTCTGAGTTTGAGTCATGGAAATCAGACGGGTTTTCAGCAAGGTATGCATGTGGTTCTCGTAATGTCGAAAACTCACAAGAAAATGCTCACAAGAAAATGATTTTAAAATAAAATACTTGGCCGCAGACGATAAAATTACCACCGATATATAGTGTTTTCCACGTACTTTCCAACAAGCTTGAATTGAAGTTCGAGCTCCCATAGCCAAATTCACAATCACGTTTTTCATTTCTGTTCATCTGTCCTACTTCCTGTGTGGGCCCTCATAGACAACACGTGCTTTGGATAAACGACGCGTTAAATTTGAGCTTCGGTAAATTTTATTTTTTTCGTAAAATCTTTTCCCGCGGACGCCGAAATTTAGTTAAATAGTAAGCTGACCTCTTCTACGTCATGCTAGGGTAGGTGCCAATAGCGGCATATCACGGCCAAACCGGCAATCGCCGATTGAATTTGACATGCGTTGCGTTCGCTTTGATTTGTGTTGATAGCTCATATTAAGGGATAGGTTAATATAAGTTTAACATACATTTGAAGTCCTAAACAGGACAGTTGGCTTAATTTTGGCCATAAGCTTGGCAAAAATCCCAAAACAAAATAATATTTTGCCCCCCCCCCCCACACACACACACCTCCATATAATTAATGATCAACGACGTTCTTACCTTTATTTTTCTGAGTTCGAGCAATCTCCTTCTCGATTTCGGAAATCTTGTCCAGGATCCCCATGTTTTATCCTCTATCCGATGGCAAACAACAACAACAACAACAACAACAATCGTGTATTTGTTCTCTTTAAGTGTTTGAGACTCACGCTTTCGTGTGAGCTGCCATATTGGATGTGATCATCAAAACGAGGTTTACGGTCTATTGAATGTGTTCCGTGGTATTTATGAACACAGACTACGTTAAACGCATATAATGTTCCCGAAAATTACATTAGATATATTACATAAATTAAACAAAATCATTTTTGCAAACTTTCCAGAACTTGAAGTTGACATCGTGGAGAAATGCATTACCGAACAATCTTTCCAAAATGGCTACTCTTGTTAAGCAGGTTAGTGTTTCTGGTAAACAATTCAAAACTATGCGTATTTAGAAGACAATGTGTGAAATGAAAGAAAGGGGGTAGTTAATCACTCAAAAATACTAGTAACAGTGTACATAAAACAATGAGGAAATCTGGCGTGATATGGGCAAGTAATGGGGTTATGTCACGCCGGGACAAGTTAAACTCGCCCCTTATTCTTTTCAAAGGTTGTTAGATGTTTTAATAAAATTATTATTACTAGGATTCGCTGTTTGATGATCTAATATGGACTACAAAAAGTGTCTTGGGATGAATGTGAATTAGGACGAATCAACTGTGAAACATGGCATATGTGCAGTTTCTCATGAAACTTTCTTACAATACATGTTGTCACAAAAACTGGTTTTGAATTCATCTCAGAATCTGTAAGCAATGTTCCCAGATCAAATTTGAAAATGAAGAACATTTCTTCATGGAATGTCTTAGGTACCAAACAGAAAGACAAAAGCTATTTAATAATATCAATATTGCAGAAGAATTGAAAAGTGATGACCAGATATTTAATTATATAATTATATTTAATTTATTTATTTATTTTTTTATTTATTTATTTACTTATTGAATCTTACACAATCCCCGGAGGGAAAGAAAATTGTCACAAAGTACAAGGAGAAAAATATATATAAAAAACAAAACAAAAAAACACAATATACTAAATAACAAATACAATCACTAAATTACTAAATAATACAAGATCTCTATAATACTAACTAATATAAAATTACTAAATTGACAGCAGGCATTAAGATGTCAAGTAAGACCCTGCTTCCTTCCCAATAAGACAAGTTGGTGAATACTTATACAAAATATTTGAAATCAGAAATAACAATAACTGACATTTTACTTTTAGTTTAGTTTTATATGTATTGTACTTTATTACTAACATTTTATTGCTGTTCAACCAATGTAAATTATTTCTAAGGATGCAATAAATTCATTATTATTATTATATCTCATAACATATCTCTGTACCAAACACTACGCAGAGGAATTGTCAAAACCCACAGAATGTTATTTCCAATAATGCACCCATTAAAAACTGAAAATATGATAAAAAAGTGTAAACCAACTATTGTAAAACCACTTATTTTCACTTTTTGAGTAAATTCAATGGGTTTCTAGTTCACAAATTTGCCAGGGAAGCATTGACTTTTATTTGTATTAGCTGATTTTACTTATCATTGAGATTTTGTTTGTACCCGTAGGCATTGAAATTTCCATCAAGTTCAGCTAACTATCTAGAGTTCTGGAGATTTACCAACCTAAGATTTTACTGTAACTACGCGTTGAAAAAAACAGAGGTTTCTTCAATTCCATCTATCTGTAGAACATCACATCACAATGTACACACTCATAAATTCAATGGACCAACTAAGCATTATTTCAGACTTTTCCCCGTCTGTAAAAACTCTTCTGCACTCAGTTCTCTCATTACACCTCCTGTTTTGTACAACACAATGTTTGTTCGATTTAAGAAAGTTCACCCACGTATTTCGGCTCACCAGTTTCAACAGAAGAATAAAACAGTCATGATTTACATAACGTCAATAGCGGTTCTTATAGTTGGACTTTCCTATGCAGCTGTTCCACTTTATACTTTATTCTGTCAGGTAAGAAACATGTAATACAGATGAGGTAATCATCTTTCTGATATCAACCGTGACACTGCTATTAGGGCATGGGAATTTTTCGTTTTGACATCCTGATAAACAGTGCATTAAACAATTGTTAGATTATATTGCTCATAAGATAATGTCAAGATTTTTGAAACAGAAAGCAACTTTGACACACTATAAATCAAATCTGTTTGACAGTTTGTGTGCTGAATAAAGGTCTAAAATTGTAAAATGAGGAAATTATCAGAGCAGATACATGATACATATGTCTTGGGATACATGTGCACATCTATCCATTTCACATTACCTTGATGAATTGTGTTTTTCTGATTGGATTCAAAATGGCTGACTGATGAACATTTTGTATTTACCTGTAAATACTGCGCTATATTCCTTGACTGATTGCAATCAAACTTTTTACCGACATTACCATTGCACACATTTTGGCATGGATTGTTTCCAGCTCTGATTTAAATGGCTAAATTATTTCAGTTTAGTTTACTATTGAACAACAATGACTTATTTCATTTATTATTATTATGTGGTATTATTGTTTATAAATGCCTTATTTGGTTCTTTGTACAGGCAACTGGATTAGGTGGTCAAGCGACAATAGGTCATGATACTGAGAAAGTTGAAACAATGGAAAAAGTAGCTACTAGACAAATACTGATAAAATTTAATGCAGATTTAGCATCCAGTATGAGATGGAATTTCAAACCACAGATGGGTGAAGTCAGGGTAAGATGAAAAATGTTTATTTTGATTTTTACAACCCTATTCATTATTCAAAAACATTATATTTGTGATATTTGAGATGTTTCAGAAGGAATGTCACAGTGCGATTCCCAGCAGCAGGAATGTCACAGTGTGATTCCCAGCAGCAGGAATGTCACAGTGTGATTCCCAGCAGAAGGAATGTCACGGTGTGATTCCCAGTATCATTACCGGTAGCCCCCGTCGGATCTGGGCGGAGGGTATTAATTTGGGTCGTGTCTGTGCATCCGTGTGTGCACATTTTCATGTTACCAGCTTTTTCTCACACATGTGTGATCCAATTCAGTTTAGAGTTGGTACAGAGACAGAAATTGATGGTGCTATTATGCACATCAAGTTATTTTTTCGATTCTTCAAAGTTTCACTGTGTTTTTCTTTGATTTTTAACATTTTCCTTCAAAACTGCTGGAAAATCCAAGTTTTTATGACGCATACGCAGTTCTCGTCTCGGTGGAAATCACAGTCATTTTTGTGTGAAGATAATGTATCCCGTAATTGTATCTTTATTTGCGCAATGCTTATATGGACAAAATTGTGTCTCGTCAATTTCAAAGACAAGAAACTGTGCTTTTATGGTCGTAAATTTTTTTTCCCCGAAATATTACACCCGGTACATCCTTATGTATATTCAACATTAAAACAAACTACAGTGAGTTGTTCTATGGTCGTATAAAAATAAAATAAACTACATTAAGATACAGTAAAGTTAACCAACTAAACAGAATGCTAAATAAAGCTAAATAATATTACAAACACATTTAGAATCATAATAAACTTGTATGATACAATACAATACAATACACAAACTAGTATTGCTAAGGAGTGGAAAATCACATTCACATTACAGTCATAATTATGGAAAGAATATTTTTAAATTTGGTGGAGCTGCTCATATATCATTTGCATACATTTTTGTATGTATTGTGCAGTTCCCAGCCAGTCCGACT